CAGATGACAGCTAGCTCCGTCAGCAGCCATTTGCACCTCCTTAACGATGGCTCCCTGCAGAGGCAACCTGCACAATCCTTCTCATCTGGTGATTCATTCTTGATGAATATAGGAGAAAAAAAGATTTTACAGTGAGAATCCATCTGAGATACACATCCTGGCTAAAGAGCAGCTCATTAGATATGGCTTCAGTTAATTGTTTAGCACTGAACAGCTAGACCCCTAGTGAGAGAATGTGACAGAGCTGTCGCTGCTGTGTCCTTTGGTGAAGGCACAATGAGCAGTTCCTTGGTACATGTGGGTAGGTGCTACCATCACGTCACCCGTGTGCCTCACTGGTGTCTCTCAGACAACACCCACCCATCTAACCAAAGTCAACAGCGACATAAAGGTCATTATCAGCATCCTTTGGTGTAAAATCCTGTGCAACAGAGCAAAATTAACCTGTGTGAACAGGATGCATGCACAACCCCAGTCACCCCGCAGTGCTCTCTTGTGGAAAGTCACATCTGGAGAGATGTCCCGGTGGTGCCTGGGTTTTCAGCAGTCCCAGCACCGCTCCACACTTCTACAAGCGTCAAGAGTGTTCCCTGCTTCCCAGTGTGGCAGAAGCACAGTGCTAGCATGCCGGAAAGCAATTACTGACACTCATTAGCCTGCTGTTGCTGACAGGATCAGCAATAGCAATGGGTCATTTAGTAGCGTCAAATATTTGTAAGGAAAATGATGAGATGGTGCTCCATTAAGGACTTGAAAGAGGCCCCACTGTGTAACATTGAAGGGTAGTCTGTCTGCTACTACACGGCTTCATACCTACTATTAAAAAATAGTAGCAAAACCACTTTTTCTCTTCCTCTCTCTTCTCCTACAGGAAACCTTCCTTGATCAGTTTACTGTGTTCTGAAGAGAGAGGAGGGGGATATACATCCTCAGAGGTGCATGGTTTACATTTCCTCCGGAAGAGAAGGAAAGACTGGCCTTTTGTCTGTTCTCTAGGATGGGATTCAAAACCTCTTGTGAACACTGTGTGTCTCACATCCTCTCGCCTGCACCGCTCAGCTAAAGTTTTCATTGCTGGGATGAGACACAGCTGGCCCAGGGAGGGCTGGGCTGGGGACCAGCATCACTGCAGGCGTGCTCCAGTCCCAGCCTTCGAGGGTAAGCTGCAGGGGACGGAGGCATCACATGCTGGCCCTGGCTAAACAGCTGGAGCTCACACCAGAGGAAGTGCTTTAATTTTGTGGTTCCTTCTCCGAGTACAAGGAGTGGCAAATCATGTCTTTTCTCACTTTCCATCAGAGCTCAGCACCCTGAGATTCTCAGCGTAGTTATTCTTACGTCAGCCTCAGGCAGTGAAGATGTACTCTTCCTTACAGTTTATAAATGAGAGTCTTAGCCAAAGCAAGTAATTTTCCAGAGTACCGCAGTGAGCCTGGAGCAGAAGAGGAAACCGAATTCAGTCTCCCACATCCTGGGGCTACTGCCCTGTTCACCAGCACCTCCTCTCTCATATCAACCAAGCCAAAAGGTCCTGTTACATGGCTTCTGCCGACCTGAGAGGTCCAGTGGGGTGAGCTGCATTCTTTCGGGTAGTCACACATGCCAACAATTGTCATTTGTTGCCAGTGGCTGCTCTAGCATTTAACAGCATAAAGGGGAGCAAAAAAGTTTGTTGTTCATAGGTGGGCAAATGCTTCTATTTATACCATATCTTTCATTTGAGAATCACAAGTATTTCCTGTCTGTCAAGAACACATCAAATTCTCACAGGTAGGAATTTAAGTAGCATCATCTGATAAACAAGAACAGGACAGTTAAACAAATTACTCAGGGAGAGGGTAGCCTGTAATATACCACTGTGAGAAACCAAACCCCTCCTGGACCAACAATCAGACCAGGACCTGACAACCACTCAATAGCCTTGATTATCCTTCTTTTAGTCACTTATTTGGGTGGCAAAACCTCAGTCTAACCTGGCCTAATATAAACTGGAACCTTACCCAAACTAAAATAAAATTAAGCTTTGAAAAACTCTGGTGCTCATTGATTGTGTGTTATTTTCCATTTTCTACCCTAGCTGGGAGGGATACAGAAGTGTCAATATACTAAGAAGGCAGCTCATCTTGCAGCTATTTTTGGCTGCATGCGGTAGGAACTGCAGAGGCGTGTGAAAATGGAAAAAATACAAAAGCAAATCAACCAAGTACACACAGGCAAATAGGATCAGTGCTTAAAAACAAATAACCTAAACAATTTCATTAATTTTTATACCTCAATTTTAAATATTTTAAATCTAAAATGCAACTGTGAACTCAAGGAAAAATAATCTGCTGGACCAAAAAGCTCCAGAAAGATTATAAGGTGACCGTGATAGGTTAACAGCCACAGAAGAGCATGGTCCAGCTTTGGCACAATTGCATCTGGGGCCATCAACTGTACTGTCCTCACCCCACCTTGAGCATCTCTGAGAATGCTCTTCTGTCACATGGCAGAGACTCCGTCTGTCTTTACAAGGTCTTGAAATTTTTAGATTAAAATTAAAGGCAGGTGGTTTAATCTTCTCTTGGTTGAAATGACTGATGGTGATAAAAGTGCCTGATAGTCTGCACTGGGGACCTGTGTGCTCCTCGTCCTCGGGCAGTACACCTCTCCTTGTCCAGTACCATGCACTGAGGTCTTAGAAACAGAAACGACTTGTCATAGCTTTTTCGTTTCCTTCCTTTCCAACCCCGTGAGAACTGATTTGATTATCTGGGTAGGGGGGGTGCATGTCTGAGAAAGGGGAACACACTGTGAGAGGGGCCAAGCTGGGGAAAGAACTTTTGCAGCAAGTTGTAACACGTGAGGCTCCTGCCCTTACTTACCATGATCTGTGAGCTTCGCTCTGGTCCTGGGAAAGAGGATTCTCTCCTGTTTGTTAACCTTCCTGGCCTGGTTAACCCCTGGTCCAGAGCACGGCAGTCGAGTGCCTGGAGAAGAGATGAGTTCTGCATTTCCACTGCAGTTACTCAGCAGGTTCAGTCCATTGAATGAGTAACCTCACAGGTGCATCTGCGTGAGATACACCAGTAGGGTTTAGGACTGTAGATGAGCCAGCTGCTATCACAGGTCCCAGTGTCATAACCCTCAGAGCTGGCACTTATGTTTACAGTAAGTCCTGGAGCCAGACCATGTACACGTGCCACATGAGGCCAGCTTTTTCTGCTCTGCCAAAGGTGAGATGCATTAATATTCCAGCAAACATATGAGGTATAGCCCTGGTGAGAAATGGGAGCCTAAGTGCTGCGTTCTTTTAAGAAATCATACATTTGTAAAAAGAAAAAAAATAATAATCTCCATTCAGTCAAATTACAGCCAATTATCGTTGCCCTCAAGCCAAGATCTATTATCTGTAAATCTGATTTAACTCAGTTACTGAAGCACACTGGAAATGTCCATCATTTGGGGGGAAAAAAAAATAAATTACCTTTTTTTCTGTAGTAGTCAAAAGGATTTTGAAACAAGCTTGATAGGGGCAATTTTCTTCCTTCCATCTGTAGCTTTTCAAGGTTAACAACGCTTCTTTTAACTTGGAACAATAGCTACCCAGTAGTCTTGGGTCACCGAGCTGTCTTCAAAGCATCACTGCATTCAGCTGCACATTCAATTAACTTCTATAACTAAAATATATTTTTGCTTTTTTTTTTTTTTTCCTGGTGCCATCAAAATACTAATTTGGACAAAGACAAACACCATAAGACAAAACCAAATGCATACCAAACCATCACATATGCTTTCTCGCACCGCGTGGGCCAAGGATATCTCCATGACAGTCTGGGAGAAGGTGGCCACGTTTTCGTGCTTACTAGCTCCCTTGAGTGTAAATAGACCCCAAAGCACACAGTGTTTCCCTTTATAGCAGCTCAATTTAACACAAGAAACTGCTGGAATAAGCTAGCTTTTTTTGATCCACAAAGCAGAGCTGCAATTTACATTTTGTTCTGTTTTTCCTTCTTATCGCCAGTGCTGTCAGAAGTCTCTTGATTCATTATTGGGGCAATGGAAACACTGAGAGCGCGGCGTGGGTAATGTGGAAGATGCAGCGTTACTGACCCGCTATTCCAGGACACTGTGGGTGTCCTGGGAGATTACAGTGCCAGAGGGAAACGTAGTCTTGCTGATGGGCAGCTTTAGGTCCACAGAAGCTTGTGAACAGGCCCCAGAATTATTTAATAGGGAGAGACTGAAGGGAGCAGAGCAGGATGGAACAGGTTTTGTGGGAACGCCAGCAGATATAACTTTATAGCAAGACGATTTTCGAAACAACCTCAAATTACCCCATGCAAGTAGGTCTCAGCCAGTGCCTGTGACCCTGTACATACCATCACAGCTTGAAGGAGATATGGAAGTGCAAACTTGCCCCTAAACGCTTCCACCCTGCACTGGGAGCCAGAATCCCGAAACCTCCCCTACCCCTAATGCTGGAAATGACAGAGCAGCAACGAGACCCGGGGTCAAAGCCTGAGACCAAGCCAGCCACGTACCATGGCCCAGTACTGGAAATCCAGCGGGAACAGAGACCCGTGCCAGATACTTGCCCTTAAACCTCAACCCACCCTCTTTGCTACAACACAAATTTAAAACCAAAACTCAAAATGCAGACTTTGAGAGGCTGAAAAAGTGACAAGAATGTTTTCGTAGCAGCTTGTCAGTTTTGCCAGCCTCTCCCATGGCTCAGCAGCACCCCCAGCTCTTTGCAGGAGGACTCAGGGCATCCCTGTGGCCCCGGCTGCACATGGGCAGGAGCCAAGAGCGAGGAAGTTGCCCAGTGCCCCAGAGAGCCAGTACGGACCCAAGGGAAGTGCCCAGCGCCTGTCTCAGCCCACAGCGCTGCAGTACTGTCAAACACAAGGCATCATTTCAAAAAGAGGCTGAGAAAAGGATCTGGTAGAAATTTTGCAAGGTCCCGTTACTGGAAATCTATTTGACGTAGTGAACAAACATGGAAACTTTCCCAGGAAACGTGTTTCTTTATTTAAATAAAAATTAGTGCCAGTAGAAACAATAAACTTTAAATACATGAGACAATTATATACAACTCAATGTTAGGAATTATATACATCAGGTTTTTTTACAGATACAAATACACTTATACCACAAGTAAAAGGACGAAGGAGAAAGCAATGGAAAATGTGACAACTCGCGCATGTCAGTCTCATTTGGAAAGTTTCAGGATTCAAGTGATTCCAGGCAAAGTGCCAAACTTAATTTGGCTTCTTTCAAACTTAAAACAGCCCCTTTTGGATTAAATCTACCAAAAAGCTTTATATGGTCTGATCCAAAGTTCACTGAAGCCGATGGAAAAACTCCCACTGCCTTCAGTCTGGGCTGGATCAGGCCCTTTCCGAGCACAATGGGGCTTTTGTTCTTTGGTGCTGAGAGAGAGACAGCGATACCTCTGCGGGCTGCGTCCCGCCGCAGTCACCCCCCGAGACAAACCCACAGCTCTCCCTTCTCCGCGGCAGGAGCACAGCAGACTCGCCTCAGCTCATTTCTGCTGCTCTGCGCTCCTATTTTTCAAGCCGTCTCTCCAGCTCTAATGCCAGTGGATAAATCACAGAGCTATTTTAGCGCAGGAAATATGTGGAGACATTTTGCAAACATTTTTGCTGTGCAACGCTTTAGATTCAGGCTCTTTAGCCCTCATGGTTCAGAACTAATCCAAACATCGTAATAAGTTATTATAAAATATAAGGTATGATTGAAACAATCATACGTTGCTACAATATTAACACTACTTTTTTTTTAACAGTGCAATAATTTAGTAACTAATTTCATGAACATTTGAAAAAAAATCACAGTACCATTAAACTAGGAGGGGAAGACTGTGGTGGTTTTAAAAACTAGTTACTAATGACTTTGTAGAAATGCATGTGTCACATGTGAGCTGTTTGAAAAAAAAAAAAAAAAAAAGGATGTAATGCAATGTTTATCTACACTGGCTTAAACAGAGCACGAAGGCCAGATTCTTCAATGTTGTAAATGAGTACAGTTTTACTGACCTCAAATGGAGAATTTAACTCCAACAGAGAAGCACAAAATCTTGTGTGTGTCCCCTGAAGTCCAGAGGACTCAGCTGATGACTTCAGTGGGGCCGGGATTTCACCCTTGCTGAGGTTAAATTCTATCCTGAATCCCACCTATTTTTCCAAGGGGGCGTAACAGAGCAGCATGTGTTCAAGCCTTTCTATGTTTTACACCTTGTAACAAAGATCTTTTTTAACTTTCAGATCTTTGCCTTTAGTGATCAAATGTACGTGTCTCTAAAAAAAATACAAAAGCAAAAAATTAAACCACTTTTCCTACTGGTAACTCAGTCAAAGACCAGGTTGCAGCAGAAATTAGTGAACCTGACCCAGCCAGTACAGGTACAACTTAAGCAAAGATAAATATAGTGGCATGGATCTGAAATTGGGCTTTACAAACCTCCTAGAAACTACTTACCTCTTTTTTTTTTTTCATTATTTATTTTTTCTGTCATTTTTACTTTGCCTAAATTCAGTCTCCAGCCATGCTGCAATCCCCCTTCAACTACAGAATCGACAAATTTTCAGCTTTCGAGGCCTCATTGAGCAAATCTGCTGTTGGCTGTGGTTTGTTATAAGAAAAACACAGGAAGAGTACTTCTAACCTGTCACAGTTTTGCGTGAATGAGCATCATCCATCATCTTTAACAACCAGGCATTACATTAGGGAACTTCCCTAAACATTTCCCAGATATTTGCAGACTTCTGAAACATGCAGAGACATGCCAGTAATAGTTACCTTGTTAGAAAATATATATATATATTCTCCTTGTTCTTAGCTCTTATGGTAAGAAATAACAATGGAAAAAGTAAAATTAAGCATCCCAATTATGTGCAAGTTACACTTTGGTGTTAGGTACCACTGCTTCCTTGTCCTGCCAGCTCTCAGGAGCACCTCAGGCCCGGGGGCAAAGATACCTGTTGAGAGTTCATCGGAGAGCAGGAAAGTAGAACCACAAGTTCTTAGTGGGAGCTCCTCTCACGCTTGGGCAGCTGACCAAGGGAGCCCTGCGAGTGCTAGGAGTTCTTGTGGATGTTTTCCGCAGATCCCTCGCTGCTCTCGTTGAGGAGCGTTTCTGACACTTCCCCCAGTTCAGCATCCAGCACTTCCTCCTGGATGGTGAAGTGCACGTCTGGGGAGGAGGATTCGGAGCTCACGCTGCTGCCTTCCATCGAGCAGATGGCACAGGACAGGGAAGGCACCATACTCTCCTGCAGCATGTTCAGCATCATGGGGATCTGCACAGACTTCAGCCCCGAGATGGTTGGTAGAGGCTTCACAGCTTCCCCCCATTCTCTCTCCTCATCTTTGTAGAGCAGAAGCAAATTGGACGACTTCTCTTTTCTTTTGGATTTCATGTAGCCCAGCATTATCCCTATCAGGAAGATCCCGTAGAAAGACATGACGATCAGAATGTAAAAATACTCATTGCTGTTGCTCTTCTCCATGTTGCGGGATTCAGCATCAAGCATGGCTTGGGTCATGTTTGCATGGTCCATTTTCGGCATGGAAAGTGTTTTACCACAGCTAAAGCCTGGGGAAGAATGTGTATGTATACATAAGATCAAACTTCAGATCAAAGACGTAAAAGACACCTGAAAAAAGATACCCCCAAACTATTCCTTGCTACTTGCAACCTGTAAGCTTGCAGGACACACTTGCTTGAAGCTTGCAGTCTATCATGCTTCTGCATTAATACTGTAACTGAATGAACTGTTATTCAGATATAGAAAACATTAAAGGAAAAGAAAATACATAATATTAACTCCTGTTGAGTTCTATGCTGACTTATAAAACCCCCCATCCACATGATTAAAGAAAGAAAACTATATAGAAATACTCCACCAGGCATTTAAACATATTTTTTTTTGCTACTTAACCATGTTTCCATAGCAGGGGGAAAGTTAGAAGTATTATTTTATTCAATTGTGCAGGAAAAAAATCAAAAAGCAACTTACGTTGGTATGCAAATAATTCCTCCTTTAGCAAAGCTCAAGAGACCTTTCCTCTACCAAATGCCGGGTGTTCTGAAAACTTTCCTCTGCTGCAGTTGGAATAAATAGCTCTCAAGAAATGTTTCATCACGTGTTTTAGAGGCACAGTTTATAATAGTTTTGTGTTGGAGTCAACAGATGAACTTGAAGGATTGCAGTTCAACCCACTGAACTCTTAACAGCTGTGAAAAGAAAAAGAGTTGGGAATTCAGATTTTACTCTTTCTTAACCAGTTCAGCACTGGTTCTTTCAGCTTGTGAATCTGTTCCTTTCACTGCCATCCCAGTTGCTAAATCTAATCCGTTACCCTGAAAGCTGCTGCGCAGAACAGAAAACCTGCAAACCATTATTCTGTGTATGTCATAAAACATAGAATAATATACACATTAATTTTATAGTAGACACTATCAAGCTATTTCCATGAAGAGATGGGGGAGAAAACAGGTTATTTTCTTTGCCTGGGACTAGTGACAGAACTTTACAAAGTGTGTGTAAAACAAAGTGGTGCCTTTCAACTCGTGCTGCAGCTCTGCTTTCCCACAAAGTGTGGGGCTGTGGGGAACTGGGCCCTGGGTCTCGAGTGAGTTTTGGATGGAGGGATACCAGTGCCACTTCACTTCAGCCATCAAAACGGCAGCTATGGGATTTTGGATCCCCACATAATCAGTGGAAAAGCACAGATTACTCCCAGGGGCAACTCAGACCTCCTGAAGTTCACAGCCCCCTTCTGCCAGTGTTTGTAGAAGCTGCCAAGGGTTGCATGGTCTGCATGCTGTTTGTACATGGACCAGGAGTGCTGGGTTAATGCAGACTTTAACATGAAGGAACGTTAACAACTTCTGGGCAGAGGGATGCTCCACGAGTGACTGCTGGAGGCTGTTGCCGCTGGCTGCTGGGCTCCCAGAGCGCTGGGGAGGGCAGAGCCAGGATGCGGGCTGGGTCACGGGACCCTCAGAGTTCCCAGTCATCAGCTCAGTGGTCCAGGAGGCTCCGGGAGCCCTTTTCAACACGTAAGCAGCAGTACAGGCCATGGGAAGCAGGAGGCCCAGCTTGCACCTTGGGGATTTCACTTCCTTATCCTCGCCATCCCCGTTCTTCACACACAAAGCCCAATTAGTCAGGCCCCACATATGTGATGTGAATGTCACCCCTTCTGCAAAGCTTCAAGGATGTTTATGTAACAGGACACTCCACTTCCAGAAAGTAGTCGACTGGTGCTGGAGTTTCCCAATGGTACGTCTGGGTTGTTTTTTTTTTTTTCCCCTGCAGTCACTGGTGGATTCTTTGCATAGACGGCAAATTCTTTTCCAAACTCTGCCCTCACGATCCCTCTGAGGTAAAGGCAGATAGGATTAACCTCTCTTCACATGTAGGAAAAAGCAAGAGAGAGGAGTTAAGCAACTTTAAATGAAGTGAAGAATTCAAGAAAAGACAGAATCGTATCTGTGTTTGGAACCAGCATTTTCCATCATTTCTCTGAACGACTCCACAAAGAAAAGAAAAAAAAAAATTTACATTAGCCAGATTCCCTTCTCTGTCCCTTAAAATAGAGGATCCACCCTTTAGGATGTTCGTTTTATCTCCTTGCGCATTCCCATGTGATAGCTCAGGAGCTGTTGATGTTGGACTAATGTCTACTGGGATTTCATCTGACAAAATCTGTCTGCAGCACCAGCTTGCCAAGTCTGGATTCTTCTTCCCCGTTCCCGACAAATTACTGAGCAGGCAGCAAGAGCGTATTAACTGGTAGGTTAAACCATAAACCGCAGCATGGTTTATGGAATTTTGAGGAATTTTTATTTCACATCTTTATCAGCTCCATGTGATATTTGCTCCCCCGTTCAGCTCCAGAAATTGGGAATTTGAAAAGTTAAATACAAGGTGTGGGGTCTCACCAACACCCTTTTATGCAAGACTTTCACAGAATGGTGAAGAAACACCCAGCATTATTGTCTCAATGAAAATTGGTTCGGTACAAGATGTACTTACTTTCTCTGTGCCCACGAAACCAGCTCTGAAGCTGCTTAATTCTGAGACCTAAAGCCTGTTCTGCTGCCTCCTGTTGTCAGTGCTATACACAGCTCATCACCCACCTTGACCCCAAGAGCACTTTCAGGCATCCAGAGGCATCAACACCCCGTGGATCCCAACACTGAGCCAGCTGAGCAGAGGCAGATTGGCTCTTCAGCAGGTGCCTGCAGGTGTGAATAGGGTCTCTTATTTGCTCCAAAGCCTCATATTTTTCATGTCATGTAGGTGAAGCTCTGTACACCATTACCAAGATGAACTGCAGCACTCAACAAGAGCAGAGGACGACTGGCCAGGAGCGTCCATGGATTTATGCAATCCTCTGAAGTTCAACTGAAAGATGACTGACTTGCATAATTATGCATAGTTATTGCTGAAAACTCTTCGCAACTATATTTACTTTGGCTCGCTGATGACAACAACTCTTCTCCATCTGTTAGCCCGTGATTCTGAAAAACAGTTTAATTTTAAAAAGGCCTGGAAAGAATCCCTGAGCCTTCTATAGACATGAAGAGGAGGGATAGGAAGACACTGGGGAATAACCACCTGAAAAACATATGCCACTTGCGTGCTGCTGCCATAAGTCAGCTTTCTCGAGCTATACCCTGTAGAAACTGTATTTTTGTCTAAAAATAAAACCTAGAAAATTGAAAATTGGAGCCTTTTAATTCTGTGTTGCAGATTTATTTTTGTTGCTAATTATATTATGCATTACCATTAATCATGTCAAAAATATATACTTAAATTATTTTTGTTGCTAATTATATTATGTACTAACCATTAATCATGTCAAAAATATATACTTAATTTGAAATTTTTTTTTTTTTTTGGAGTTAAGGTTACCAGCTGTCTCTTGTTTGAGGTTTCTTTCTTCCTTTCAGATCAATTTTTTCCCCCAAAACTGTTTCTTGTTTGAGGTTTCTTTCTTCCTTTCAGATCAAATTTTTCCCCCCAAACTTCACAAAATTTCCCCTCAAATTTCACTTACAGGTCCCTTGGGCTTTCAGTAATCGCCGCTCATGTGTCACTCTCCACTTTTGCATCACTTCCAACCTAGGCTATAACACTTAAGAATAATCTTCCTCGTGCTGTTGCTCCCACCTTCCAGATTTCCTCTTTGGAAAACATTCAGACTAATAAAGCAGAGCAACAGCCAAGCGCTCCGATGATGAAAAGGTCACAACATAGCTGCTGATGCCAGATTTTTTTTCTCAAGGTCCCTGTCTCCTAGAGAGCCTTTTGTGGCAGCAACCTCCGTCACCAAAGGACGCAAAAGTTGAAGCTTGAGGCATCCCATGGGGCAGGAATTCTTCACAGCATGGCTTAAGGGATAGTATAATGTGAACCCTTTCTCCAAATAAAAATTTGAGGACAGTCAGAAAACCGAACAAAGACAGAATCCATTATGAAGACAACATGAAACGTCCTTAGAGACTCAGATGCCTCTCTGCAGGCTGCCATGGAAAATACATGTCTAACTCTTCATTACGGACATAATCCATGGTCTGATGCTGCATTTATCTTTCTTTTTCCACTTAGTGAGTTAATAAGGCTAAAGACACAAGACAACTGTTAAAGGGCTAGCTCCTATGGGAAGCTGAGCCTGTTTGATAAGCGTGTGCTAACAGTATGACTTTAAAGAGTATCTGAGCATGTGCACTTTTGGAAGTAAACAACTGAAAAACTGAAAAGAAAAGTTGAAAGAAAAGAGAAATGGGAAGGACAGAGGGGTTGAAGTTTTTTCTTCCTGCACAGGGACCTTTAATCGAAGTAACGTTTGGGAATTTACCACTAGGGAGAAAAAGTGGGGAGAGTTTTGCCATGCAAATATTGACTTAGTTACCACTTAGATAAATCATAACTTACCTAACTCATCCCATAAGTTGGGAAAGGACAGCAAAGGTGATCAATGTTTTTCACTCACATATATGATTTCAATTAAAGTAAAATTAGAGATCAAAAGCTGGGTTTGACACCATGAAGGGAGGCACAATTAAATGGGATGTTTGTGCCCTTGATTTGGTCTTATGTTTAAAGATCTGTGATGCTGATATGTACACATGGACTTTTGGTCCCGCTGCAAAACACAAGCCTCACAGAGGACCTCAGCCAAAGCTCCTTGAAGTCAAAGCCCCTTAAAGTTACCATCAGTCCCTTACCTAGAGCGGGTGTCAGATCAGGAACGGTGCCTGCTCCTTCCAAGTTCTGTGCAACCCAGAGTCAATTTTCAGCGAAGCCTGTGAATGTGTTGGAATACAAGAGCTAGTTCCAAAGCAGCAAACGAGTCACACGCTCATTCCCGGAGCTGGGAGTTCCCAGAGTAGGGAATGAGTGGCAGCCCAACACAAGCCACGCGCCTCCTCGCTAACAAGCCTACTTACAGTGTGAAATTTATGAGCTTTACTATACGCTCTTAACACTTCTATGCCTCAGTTCACACACTTGCAAAACAAATCTAATAATAATACCTACCAATTACACATGCTGTGAGGGTACAGCACAGTAAAGCACTCGCAGATGACTACCTGAAATGGTAATAACAATCGTGCTCATAAGCATGACAGCATTACCACATGGCTGGGCTGGCATCTGAGCAATTCTTACACAGCTCAGTGTCATTTTCCATCACTCTTCCCTATTTTCCATACTGCAGAAATAAGTGACATTTTTTTAATATACTTCACACAGGCAATTTCTAGAGGAAGGCAATTTTCTCAGTGTCATCCACAATATACCATATTACCATCTGGATACCAAATGGAAGTAACACCCTGCCCAGTTATTAACTGTGAAAAACTTAGTAAAACACTCAGCTCTGTTTTACAACCTTCATTAGTGAAAACTTGCAAATGTAAGTCTAGAAGGTGCACGTATCAGCTTTCTTTCCAACTTTAGCATTTGGTTTGCTTTAATTCAAATTTCATTTAACCTTCATAGCAGATCCCCATATTATGAAACTTCAAGTTTCTCAGGTGTTCCCTGCACCCAAAGCAGCAAAACCCTCCATTTTTATCAATAGCAGCAAATAGGGGGTTCAGAAGCACCAGACACCCCAGGTTCTCTCACACTCTCAGCTAGCAGTGGCAAGAGATTGCCCAGAAGTCACGTCCAGAGTATTGCAATTGCCCCCCAAGCACACAATAAAGATCTGTAAGGCAAATTGGTGTCTGATCCGGAGAGATGACAAGCAACTTGTAATGATACTTGTAATAACAGTTTACCCTAAATTTAGCATTTACTGTAAGGCATGTATTGTGGGAGCCTTGGAATTTTGGAATAAGCATTTCTTTTCAACCCCTAAACTGAATTCAGAAAGCTATGAGTGATTGGAAGCAAATAGAGTGGAAACAGGTTACTTTTATGAGAGCAATAACAATAAATTACATTTTAAAATAAAGATTTTTCAGTGGCTGATATGAGAGTCTGAGTCCAAACTTGTCACATTCTCAATTCTCTTACCTGTAGCTGAGACATGTTACAAAGTTATATTATCAATATATATTTCTATACAGCAAAATGAAACTTATACTTCATATTACATTACCTTTTTCCATGGATGTGGCACAGAAGATGCAGGTATGCTTGATTTGAAAATTCTTTTTTTAATTTTTCCTTTTTTTCCAAACAGAATTATCTGTTGGATGCATTATCTTTAAAAACAAAATAACTTACAAGCTGTCTTTGCTGTCAGTGTCAAATGTTAGATTCAATTACACTGTACATGATCAACCATGTTCAACATATTTAATTCTATTTGGGATTTAAAATATTTAACAATGTAACAAATTTTGGATGCCATTAAAAAAATAAACCAAACCCCTCTAAATTGATTAGCAGTATCTAGAAGAAATTCCCTCACAAACCCAAATACAAATTTCTGTTTCTTCAGTGAACACATGGTGCTTACTCTTCCAGTTATGGAAAGACACCTTATGAAGGAACATTCACCTTCTCTCTGAACTGACTCTGACTCTAATCGGCTCAGAATTAGCACGTTGATTTACATTAGAGAAGGCTTCTAACAAAAAAGAATTGTGGGTGAAAGGACATGAATGAACATTTAGAGGATTTTTGAAAAATTCCTCTGCACACAGCATGAAGATCTCTCCTCAGTTTTCTTTTTTTGTGCATTTTAAGATTCCTCATGATCTGAGAAACTCTGCATATGCCATTAATTGAGAAGCATAAGAAATAAAGGGGATAAAACCACTGAAAACATTTGAGTGCTTGACTTGAACCTTCCCCTGAGTACAGAACAGAAATTCAAGGTCTTTGATAAATGCCTGGGTATCCAGTTCACCGCAGCTGAAGTCCAAATACGAAAGCAAATGTTCATTCCCTCGCGCCGGGGAAACATCCTGCCAGGTTGCGTTCGCTTTAGTTGGGACCCTGTTGCCTTCTTCACAAGGAGCTGCCACCCCACTACCTGCTGTCCCTTGTGCAAGCTCACATCTCCCCCTGGTTACTCTCTCTCTGCTTCTCAGTTCTGCTGGGCGTGTGGAAGCTCACCACAGCTCCGTCATTTCGCTTCGGGCTTTTTTGAAAATAATACTTGGAAACCAAGAAGAAGAGGGGAGCGGGATGCTGTCTCAAGAAATGAATGGGGCAGGGTTCACACACCCAGTGACCTCCCCTGCACTGTGGAGTTCTCAAAGTCCACCACACCTGGAAGAATTTGAGAAAGAAAACAAACAGACAAAAATTTAACCCTTGGGGAAACCACAGATTCCGAAGTCAAGGAGACAGTTGTTGCTTAGTCTTACTAAACTGCAGCATTGCAGTTTTCATTTCCAGACATAGAGAAAGGGTAAAGCCCCCAACATTTAGGTGAGTTCTGTCTAAGATGCATGCCCAGAACTCCCACTGAATCCAGCGGGATTTTGGTAAGTGCGAAGAATAAAACTGCTAATACAGAGCAAAGTACCAGCCTGGCTGCCTGCACGGACTGTGTCGCGGTGTCTGCCTTGAGATTAAAGTACCTGCCAGTATATAATGGGCATTTCACAGCAATCTACTAACACTGCTCTTGAGGCCAGGGTTGAATACAGAGCATTCAAAAGAGATTGAAAAAAAGGGAGGGAGACCATCATGACATTTACCACAAAAGCAATTAGATCCCTTTAGGAACTGGCGACAGCGTACAGTAAAGAGTACAAGTGTCACAGTGATCTTCCATCTCTGCCAAGGAGACAAACAGATGCAGAGGGAAGTTTGCTCTCCTCTCCCAGAAGTCAGCGCAGAGCAGAGATGAAAGGGACAGATAGTGCCGCTGAGAAAGCACTGAGTCCAGCTGAAGTGAAAGCACTTGCAGGCTGACAGAAACAAGCCACATTTTAATTCGTTATTATTTTTTCCTATCCTGGAAAATTTGTCCACAGAGTGAGGAGCGGCCCATGCTGTTTCACAGCCATCTCAGCGTAGCATCCCAGGTCACCCTGACCTTCAGCACATACGGGATGTTTCACTTTCACATGGATACCAGATGTGGAACCCTCTCTCCCTCTAATGTTCAAGGCCCTTGGGCCAACATCAGGCACTCAGCATCATGTGCATTTGTAATACTCCCTTTGAGTTTCTGTTGTGAAACCTCCACATTTACTGTGGCTGTTGCAGCAAACATCGCACTTCATTAATTTCTGCTCTCAACCCTGTTGACCTGAATCTTCACGGGATTGCAAATGCAGTTTAGATTTCATCACTGCCTTTTTCTACAGCAGTTCCTTTTCAAGCTGAAGCAACTAAGACAGCTCTTCAGTTTGATTTATTACATCTTGGCATCTGTTGACTGTACTCACTTTTAGAGCATAAAAATACTCAGAACAGCTATTTGTATTTTATTATTACAAAAGTCTGCTTTGGAAAACACAACACAAGGCGCAAAATAGCAATGTGGGGGGGCAAACAGCATCGGTTGGATGAACCTCAGGTGTGCAGCAAAGAGGACAAAGCACACAAAAGCAGCAATGGCAGCACACGCATCCTCTCCGACGGGAGGGATTCTGCAAAGGAAAGGAGGGAAAGCACAAAGATGTGATTTCTGAAACCCGAGGCCAAACTCCCACTCTTAACTCATGAACCCATCAGCAGTTTGCCTTTGGTTCCTGTAAGGGCTGGATTTCCCCTTTAGTCCCCCGGATACAAGAAGTTAAGATGATTCCTGAAAATGAGCTGAGATCTGTTCCTGTGTTTCTGTATCAATCCACGGAGCCACAGCTGTGAGCGTGCAGAGGATGAGTCCCTAAATGCCTAATGCAGAGAATGTGTTGTACACAGCTTTAACAGAACAGGATTTCTTCCTTCTCAACTGATAGAAAAGCTCCATTTCTTTCAGTTAACACAAGCAGTTACAATCCAGCCTCATGTGGACAACCGATGGAGCTCAAATGATGTAATCTGCCATTACCAGGACCCTGATCGATGTAACAGTCCCTCACACCTTCTAAAGAGCTCTGGGACACCTGGAAAAGCTCAAGGAGAAGCCCTCCTGGCATTTCCCAGCAGATCAGGTGCACCCTGTGGGTGCGGGTGGCATCAAACTGCAGATACAGAAAACGTGCAGCCTCTGGGAACCGCTGCTGTGTTCCCCACAGGGTCCACAGCCACACCATCCCACGGAAAACTCCCCCTGTGCTGGGTGCTGGACACAAAGCAGGGAGAGGGCACACCTCCACAGCGCAACAGCAAGGTTGATCAAAGGAATCCAAACTAACTCCTCAAGTTAATTTTTAAAAGTAATGCCAAAGCAAAGAAACTTAGTAACACGTAGATGTTTCAGCAGGGGCGACTTGCTTGCAAATGCTAAAAGAAACCGGAGGGGAGGTATTTTTCAAGTGCAGGCATTTATATCTCAGTGGGGAGACATCATCCCTTCTTGAATGTATTTTATTAAAACAAAGACAACCATTGGTTTGATGGAATTACACTTTCAGAACTTAGGGGAAAACAGTCTCTGCTTTTGGCTGCTCATAACGTGAATAATCAGCCCAGAGTAAACAACATGTGGTCTTGTGTGGTCTTTTTTCTCTTCAAACGAGGCTGGTATTTCACTCAAATCTAGTAAGTGACAGGAAGTGGGGAATTCTGCACAGCTATGGGAGATCCTGAGCTATCCTAACAAGCTCTAGAAATGTAGCATGCTTGGGGAAAAAATATTGCTGTTCCAGATGGGAAATATAAAAAGTAAAGAACATATCTAGACACATAGGATGAATTAATGCTCCTTTGAGTCACATAACTAGAGAATTTTGATGTAGCTATATCCACAAAATTTCCTGACGCCTTATTAAGCATTTGAACATTCACATGTCGATGGAGTACTAATCAATTCTTATACTGAAGTGTTAAAGGAGCTCCTGAAAGCAACTTAACTGCTGTGTTATTTGTAAATACAGTTCATGGTGTGCAGGGGTTGCTCCCATAAATGATCCACTTAGAGAGGATAAATAGTGCCCTGGCTCATGCAAGAGCTGAGCAGAGCAGGGTCTGTGCTCCCTTTGCCGTGGCGCTGCAGGCAAGGATCCTGGAGCACAAGGACTGTTGAAAACACCACTGCCCATTTTAAAGCTCCCATAGCCCTTACTTACATTTCAGGATTTACCTCTTCCCAAGGTAAAGCACCCACCCCCTTCTCTCCATCCATGACTTTTGTCCCTCACCTTTAACTTCTCCCATGTTATCTCATTTTTACCATCAATGTCCTTTCACAGACCACGTTGCCAAAGCATCTCCTTCAAACCCCTCTAACACCCACCTGCTTGGCCACAGAGGTAGGGGGGAAGGGAAATAGGAAAGAGATTTTAAGGAAAGTCGCAATAAAAGAGAATGAAAAATACCCCCAGGCACATGTTACTCAGCAGCACCCATCCATGGCAGGGGGGTTGGAACTAGATGATCTTTACGGTCCCTTCGAACCCTAACCATTCTGTGATTATGATTCTATTCCTTGTCCACGTCCCCTGTAGCTTTTCTCTGACGTTTCTGTTTATAAACGTACTCGCCATGTCATATCAAACCACATTTTCACTGGGGCAGGACTGTGTCTTTAGTGGGATACCTCGCATTTTTCTGAGCCCTGAAATAGCAATCACACCCCATACGTTTGTGAGGCGCCTTTCTCCGGGACAGCTCGGCAAAGCTCCGAGTGGTTCCCCAATATCCCCCACCTCTGAAGGAAAAGCTGCCAGAAACGGTTCTTTCCTTCTCCCAAAAGATAAACTCCGTTTGCCGCGTCTCCCCGGGGGTGCAGCTCAGCCCCTCGCCCCCCGCTGGCGGCGGCACTGGGGCTGGTGCAAGGCACATTCCAGGAATGCTTCCAGACAGCAAGGATTTTTTTTTTTGTGTGTGGGTTTTTAAAATTTATTTATTTATTTTAAATAGTTGCTCGTTCTCGAGCAGAGACGGGTGCATCTATTCTAGAATGTTCCCTGCCCAAATCCTGGTTGCCTGGTATATCTTACTTGAATTAGAGCCCAGACCTAGAAAACGTTCGTCCGAAATCATTTGTGTTTGTAAATAACAGATTAAAATGAAAAACTGCATGCAGATTTAATTGCTGTGGGTATAATAATCTCAGCAGTAGGATTAGCTCGCAGCATAAGCAAAAAAAAAACCAACAACAAAAACCCAGTTATCTGGGATTAAGAAGTCTTGACGATTAAGCTTTATGATTTGCTGCTGAACCAACCAACACGTCTAAAATACGTCATTGTTTTTTCCTAAATCCAAGAATTTATGAGATAAAACAAAACAAATTCCTATCAACAATTTAGTCTGTTATAAAGTCTTTTTTTAAAATATCAAGCTGAATTTCTGAAGAATTAAGCAGAAGATAACTAAAGAGTAGGCAGCACAAAATCACCATGAGACTGGGTGAGGAGCTGTGCCAGGCTGCAAGTCTGAGGTAGGGAGGGCAGAAGAACCTCGTTCTGGTCTCCTGCAGGACATGAGAGGGAATAATAATAATAAAAAAATTAATCTCTTAATTTTAATCTTAAAATCTTAAGATCTTAAAATCTTTAAGAAAAAATTATCCTGTCCATTTTTATGAGAAGGATAGAAATCAGCTGCAAAAATCATTCAGGACAGGGCACAGATTGGAAACCCCCGAGGATGCCCCACCACTGTTTTTTGAATCACAGTTTCTAGAAATTCTGCAGGGGTCAGGCTTTTGCTGCTGCTGAGGGAACAGCACGCTCCTAAACCGGGAGCTGGGCTGCTGGAGAAGCTGCAGGTTTAAGGGTGGGTGCAGGGGCCGTTACCTTCGGGTTTTAGGGTGGGTGCAGGGGCCGTTACCTTCGGGTTTTAGGGTTTAAGGATGGGTGCCGGGGCCGTTACCTTCAGCGCTGCCGGCAGCCTACACCAGCTCCCGCATCTCTTTCCAGAGGCAGGGCCGGGATGACGGACCTTACTGAATCCTGAGAGCTCCCAGTCGGAAGCTCACAGCCCCCGTCCTCTCTCACATACTCCCACTACACTTGATTTCAAGGCAAGAAAGTAGCTGTTCTGTTACAGCCAGGCGACAAGCGGAGGCTCAGCCTGAGAACTGCTCGTTTCCATTAGACCCAGCAAATCCTCACAGGGGTCGCTTCCCACTGAAGTCACTGGGTTTGTTTGTTTTCCTATAAGGTGAATCATACTCTGCTCTCTGAGCTTAATACCTAAATCCTTTTCTAGATAAGATTCCCACTAACTCGGCTCTGTAAACTGCAGCCTCATAACCTCGTATCCATCAACATCAATAGCAATGAGGGTTGGTCACCTCTTCATAGTGCCCCAAAACACCATATTTGCATTACTACAGATGTGTCCCCTTTCCAGACATCACCATAATACCTCCAGGTCTCACAGTTTAATGTCAGCTGGACTCTGGTACAACCCAGCCATCACCTCCCTCTCAAACACAACCCATCTGGACCCTCTCTTTGGTACCCGGCAAACCACAACAACCTTCAACACTCCACAAGGAGGGAAGTTGTCAAGGGTGCTGTCTCATTGCTGGAAAGCTCGGTGGGGAGAAGCCTAGGTCATCACCAGAACAGTGAGTTGTCCTTTTAGGGTTTTTGGTGCTGGTTTGGTTTGTTTTCTTTTTTTTTTTCCCTCTCGTGACTGGTTTCAGGATCTGATCAGTCTCACAAAGGAATAAAAGAGACAGACGTTGACTCAGGTATCCACAGCTCAGACACTTCAAATAAATTGCCCATCTCCTCTCTGTAAATTATCCCAGGAAATAAGCCAATTTGCTAAATTAAAGATTTTAGAAGTCTTATGAGTAAAGCGAGCCTAGGCTTTGCCCCCTAATTTATTAGCAGTTTCATTTCATTTCTCTTATCTTCCCTCAACCCTTCATTTCAGAACAGGTCAAGTTTCAACTGAGTGGGTTCGTTATCACATGGAAAAACCCACGTGCTGGACTAGTGTCATAGACTGCACTAGTGCCCTTAAAAATAATAACTACAGCCGGAGCGAGCTGCTCCTCCACATCCCTAACGGGGGCCAGCTTGGACTTCCCTGCAGCCCGCGTTGCCATGGCTACGAGCGATGCTCAGAAACCAGCCCTGCCACCCAGAAGAGATTGCCATGACACCCAGGCAAGCGGGGAGGCTGCGCTAGACAGGTAACACACTCCGAATACTGGATAGCATCATTTTAATTAGTAAGGAGATACAATGTAGCCAGTTAACAGGCACGTAACGCAGAACTTCAGTAGTGTTTCTGTTGAATTAAACTTAGGAAAGGTTTTAATCTAGCTTTGAAAACAAACGGGAGGAATGCACGGTCTTGCTAACAAAACAAATTAGAGGCAAAATATATGGGATTTCTATTGCTGTAACAATAAAGTGGAAACAATTAATATGCACCAAACATAAGTAAAAACCAGATGAGGATCCCTTACATCTGTATTAACTATATATTACTGCCTTCCTAAAGATGAAATTCACTGAATTTTTAGAGTTGGAAGGGACCATAGAGATCCTCTAGTCCAACTCCCCTGCTGAAGCAGGCTTGCCTAGAGCTAGAGCATGTTACTCAGGAGGGTAAAGGCTTCCCAGGAGTCAATTACAGAGCAAGGGAAACCAAGCAAGAAGCAAACTCCTCTGTGCTGGGATTTTCAATACCATGACTTGGGGTGCACAGGACAGCCTGTGTGAGCCACAAGCACGCTTAAGCAGGACCCATGTTATCAGCTCTCCCTGTTTTACGAGGTACCTTGCGGTACTGAAGTACTCATCTCATGCTATTCAGTTGTTGCCAGGACACCATTCATGCTTCTGAGTCTCCATTAGCATCAGCTAATAATCTTCTGCTGGCTGGTTTTCAAAGAGCTCCAGAAGGATTCAAGGCCTCTAGAAGAAAAGAACAAGGAAAAAGAGAAAAGCTGCTTGCTCTTGCAGTCAAAAGAAGTCTAGCCCATGGCTTTTGCATGCCTCAGATAACTGGGAAACCAGAAAATAAAACCTCAAATCCATTGCTTTCATAAGCCTAATAATTTTGGGATCTGTGTTGTGATTTTTTAATAACAATTTGCTTGCAGTTAGCAAAAGCAATAAAATTTTTAAAAGGCAGGCATGACCACAAGTTCCCCTGTTTCCACCCCCTTCTCCCTCAAGTGTTAAAAAAGCTTTCTCTCTGCTTCCATCCACAGCTGGGTCACTCCTCCTTCCCTGGAAGCCCCCAGCACAGCCTCTACATTTCTCAGCCGCCTCACTATGTTGTTCAAAACATAGATGGTTTGAGCAGAGGTTCAGACAAGGACACAGAAGTTGCTCATCCTGGGCCAAGCTTCGGGGAGCCACGTCCCAGCACCAGGGCTGGGGGAAGCCCTGCTGCAGAGGCCAGCCGGTGCGGCTGGGGCTCACAGATGGTGGGGTTGGCATGGGCAAGGTCAGAGACACTGAAAAATTCCAGCCAGCCTGATCTACCCCCTTTATTTCGCTCTGCCTGAAGCAGAGACGCTGTTATCTTTGACCCTGCTCTCCTTGGAGGATGCAATCCAAGCACTTCTGAAACACAACTGTTTCT